TGGAATCTTCCCGGACCAGGAATCGAACCTGTGTCCCCTGCGTTGGCAGGCAGGTTCTTTTCCACTGTGCTACCAGGAAGTCCCAGGGTTTTTTTTTTAAAGTGCAGAGAATCTTCAAGTCCAGCAGAAGTGACTCTAGTTAGCCACTGGGTCCTCCCATGTTAAGAGGCATCAGGGCCAACCTGTCAAAAGGATGGGGAGTAGACTTGCTGGCTTCCCAAGTCACATCCTGTGACTTCCAAACACTCCGAGCCAGGAACCAGGTCAGCACTCCTACAAGGGACATATGAGAACCACCAACCCCACATCCCCTTCTCTGCTTCATCCCTGCCTCCTTGGTGTTTAAACTTAATTAACAACAATCAGTGATCATAGGGCAATTCCACTGCTGGGCAGGCATCTGAAGGAAAGAAAACAACTATTTCAAAGAGATCTCTGCACCCCCATGTTTATTGTAGCATTATTCACACTAGCCAAGACATGGAAACAACCCAATTGTCTATCAACGAATGAATGGATTAAGAGCATGTGCTAGGTTTACACAGAATGGAATATTTTTAACCAAAAAAAAAAAAAGAGGGAAATCCACCTTTGGCAGCAACATGGATGAACTTTGAGGGCATTAGGCTAGGTGAAAGAGGCAGACAAAGAAAGATCAATACTGCATGATCTCACTTACATGTAGGATCTAAAAAAACTGAACTCAGAAACAAGAGTAAAATGTTGGCTGCCAGGGGCTGGGAGTTGGAGAAATGCAGAGATGTTGGTTAGAGGTCACAAACTTTCAGTTACGAGGTAAACAAGTTCTGGAGATCTAATGTACCACAGTCACTGCAATACTGTATTATATACTTGGAAGTTGCTAAATGTCCTTACCACCACCCAAAACAAATGACAGTTATGTGAGGTGACAGAGGTGCTGTTGTTCAGTCATGTCCAACTCTTTGTGACCCCGTGGACTACAGCACGCCAGGCTTCCCTGTCCTTCACTATCTCCCAGAGTTTGCTCAAACTCATGTCCACTGAGCCAGTTGATGATATCCAACCATCTCATCCCCTGCTCCCTTCTCTTCCTGCCTGCAATCTTTCTCAGCAGCAGGATGTTTTCCAGTGAGTTGGTTCTTCACCAATTTTGTGGTAATTATTTCATAATAGATATATGAATCAAAATATCACGTGTACACTTTAAACTTATAAATGTTATATGTCAATTACAGCTCACTAAAGCGAGAAAGAAAGAAAAACAAATCAGTCATCTCTTAGTCTGGTACAACACTGAGGAAGAAATGACCTCACAAGTGAAGTAAAAGTCGCTCAGTCATGTCTGACTCTTTGCAACTGTATAGTCCATGGAATTCTCCAGGCCAGAATATTGAAGTGGGTAGCCTTTCCCCTTTCCAGAGGACCTTCCCAACCCAGAGATCGAACCCAGGTCTCCCGAATTGCAGGCAGACTCTTTACCAGCTGAGCCACAAGAGAAGCCTAAGAATACTGGAGTGGGTAGCCTATCCCTTCGCCAGCAGATCTTCTCTACTGAGGAATCGAACCAGGGTCTTCTGCATTGCAGGCAGATTCTTTACCAAGTGAGCTATCAGGGAAGCCCTCACAAAGAGCGGAGCTGAGGGGAGGCCAAAGGAGACCAACACAGTGTTGGAAAGGACTCCAGTAGCCCCAGTACCAGGAGGAAGCAGAGGTTCCGGGCCCAGGTAGTGGGGCTGGATCAGAGCCTCTGCTGGGAGGTGAGGAAACATCCAGTGCATGAAATGACTACCCACAGGATTCCACCTAGTGTGACTCCCACAGTCTTGCCTCTCATTACATCCATTTTCTGATGCCCATTGTGGACCCACAGCTCTAGGAGACAGGACTACAACTACGAGATAGACACAGCCCGACCATCAGGGAGTTTACCTTCCAGTGAGAATCCCAGAGGGAAGACATGTGGCGGGGTGGGGCGGGGCAGGGCGGGTGCTCGGCGATGAGTTCCAGACCCTTAGCGCTGTGGTTAGAGGTACCACTCCGCCAACAGTCAGCCCGGCAGTGGTCCTCACGGCAGGGTAGGTGAGAGCCGGATCTCGGCCTTCTCCCCAGGGCTATACAGGCTCTCCAGCCTCAGAGCTGGGGGTGAGCTGGGGGGCCCGGGGAAAGGCAGAGGGCTGTGTCTCGCAGAGCTCCAGAGCCCTCGCCAAGGCCATCTGCTGGCCAGGTCCAGGCCTTGAAGCCACTGCGCCCTCTCCTCCATTCCCCCTCTGGGTCTAATGGTGGTGCCGGTCTCCGTGGGTCAACATCCACAGAGGCCGCAGCAACTGGAGTGCATGGCACCGCCAGTAAGGTCACAGCTTCAACCAGCTTCAGTGTCTCCATTCACACTTCAAAAACGGATACAGCTGAGATCAGCTGTCTACCCCCTAGGAGGTGGCAGAGGTCAGGGTAAAGTTGCAAGGCCACTGCCCGTCATGACTTCAGGTCCACCCCTATGGGTGGGGCTGTTCTCAAAGAATGGCAACTGCTGTGAGCTGGGAACTAACATGATGGGCATTTGCTACAACATGTATTCCTACTGATCCCAATCAAATGATTCACTCCAGTTTAAATGAAAAGCCCGAGGGCTGGCTGGGTGCTGGGTGCCTGGCTCCCTCAGTGATGACAGCTGGGCAGGCTCTGGGGCCCTGCCTCTGAGTGCGCCACCAGCTAAGATCTGCCTCTTCAGCAGGGCCTGGGCACTGGTGGAAGGACAGAGACTGGGTGCTGGACCAGTGCTCTGGGGCAGAGTAACCAGCCAGCCCAGGGACTCCTCCTCTTAGCCTGGGCCTCAGAGGGCAAAAGTTGAGCCACAGGACTTTGCCCTTCTTTGTCAGAACAGAGAGTAACATTTGTTTTGGTGGAGGCTTCCAGCAACATTGAGTGACCGGACCATGACCTGACCTTAAGAACAAAGGATCTGACGCCAAGAAGCCTGCAACAACTAACCACGCCACCCCCCCTTTCCTATAAAAGAGCTTTGCTGAAAGCTTTCCGGGAGTTGGGGGTCTTTTAAGGCAGAAGCCACCCGTCTCCTTGCGTGGCCCTGCAGTGAACCTCTCTCTGCTCCCAACTCTGACATTTTGGTCTTGTCTGGCCTCACTGTGCCAGACACAGACTGGCATTCAGTAATAGACACAGACAGGGCAGATTAACATAACCTGGGGACCAATCAGCCAGGGGTTAGGAGACACAGAGGAGTCCACCGCTTTCAGACCTGTGACAGAGCCAGGGGACTAGTCTCAGGATGAGGTGATCTAGGGAGGAGATGTGGGCAGGAATGTGCAGAGTTCAGTGTGGGTCACAGTGAACCCACTGGAATTTCCGTGGTTGTCCCCTTATCAGTGTGAACCATCAGACTTTATAGGAGAACAAAGTCAGTGCCAGAGAGGTGGAGGGCAGAGGCTACGCAGTAGGATGGCCAGGATGGCCATGCAGCTTTGCACCATACCCCAAAGGGACATGGCCGAGGGGCCCGGTCAGGAGTCAGGTGGCCTGTGTTCTGGCCAGAGTGCCAACATTTACTAATCCTCTACCCTGGACAGGCTGTTTACTTCTCTTGAGTCCTTGGCATCTGCTAAATGCAGATGAAAATGTCCTCCTCGAATATTTCACAGAGTGGTTGTGAAGAATCTGGAAGAAATTTATATACTGTATAAGGCTCTATTGGAGAAGGCAATGGCAACCGACTCCAGTACTCTTGCCTGGAAAATCCCATGGATGGAGGAGCCTGGTAGGCTGCAGTCCATGGGGTTGCCAAGAGTTGGACATGACTGAGCGACTTCACTTTCACTTCTCACTTTCATGCATGGAGAAGGAAATGACAACCCATTCCAGTGTTCTTGCCTGGAGAATCCCAGGGATGGCGGAGCCTGGTGGGCTGCCATCTATGGGGTCGCACAGAGTCGGACACGACTGAAGCGACTTAGCAGCAGCAGCAGCATAAGGCTCTATGGGCTTCCCAAGTGGAACCAGTAGTAAAGAACCTGCCTGCCAATGCAGGAGACATAGAGATGCAAGTTTGATCCCAGGGCGGGAAGATCCCCTGGAGGAGGGCATGGCAAGCCACTCCAGTATCCTTGCTTAGAGAATCCCATGGACAGAGGAGCCTGGCAGGTCACAGTCCAAGGGGTCACAAAGAGTTGGACATGACTGAAGTGACTTGGCGCACACACACACATATAAGGCTCTATAAATAAGTAGGGTCAAGTCCAAGGACTTCTATGGGAAAGCTGAGGTTACATGACTTGCCCAGAGCCTCTCAATGGTTACCAAAGGCCATCAGCTCTGGTGTCTCTGGCTTTCCATGACACCCCGGCCCTTCTGGGTACCTGCTGGTGGCACTTTCTGTGGAACACTGAGCCTCTCTTGAGGCCATCCCAGAAGAGGAGACCCTCAGACTTCAATCCTGCCTCAGATATACACAGGCCTGTTACCCAAGTGGCCCAGATCAAGGTCAGTCTCTGCAGGATATACTCCAGCCCAGGGGGGAGACAGAGCAAGAACCCAGAGCCACCAGGTCAACCCAGATACTATGGAGCCCCATGCAAGCTGAGCTGTCATCTGGGAAAAAGAGATGTCCAATTCTGAGCAGATGCTCCAGAGAGGTTTATTATATCCACACTGGGGAGCCCCAGGCTCCTGCTCAGAACAAGGGGCTGAGAACATCCAGTCAGGGAATCACGGCCACCCCCGACTGACAGGCCTGGTGCCTGTGGAAATGGTGACGCTTCTGCTTCAAACACAGCCAATTCCCTCCCTCTGCCCTTTAAGTCTCCTTGTAAAGAGGTAGGGCTGTCCTTTTCATGACAAAATGAGGTCCCTGGCGGTTTCTTGTCTGACATCTATCAGCCCCCAGAAAGCTTGACCCAGGCCCTCTGTCTGCTCCCCAATCTTGGCCAGCATCAGCAACCGCATGTCCGTCACAGCCAGCCCACCCTCACCCCAGCGGCCTCCAGCTTGCTCCGAGAACCTGCCGGCTAAAGTCTGGAGCGGACAAATTCTACCAGGTGCTCCAACTGCTCCTCCAGGCTCTGCTCATCCCCATGGTTCTCAATGACCCAATCGAAGGTCCCGAAGTTGTCCAGGCCACACTCTGACTCAGCATCGTCCACCCCTGCAGAGAGGTATATGGCAAAGTCAGGCCCATCCCTCCCAAAAAACACAGGGCATCGAGGCCTGCTGGCCCCACGAGGAGCCACCCTCTTGAACGGGCTGCTCCTCAGCCCCTCAGAGCTAAGCACCACTCACCCCAGAGGGCACTCCCGTACCCTTGAAACATGGGGACATCAGATTCAGTGGCCCACAGCCACCTGAGCCCCGCAGAGGGTCCCACTGACGTCTTCACTTGTCACTGCCATCTCAAACCACAGACAATCCAAACGGTAATTTTGTTTTCATTTTATGTAAAGCTGGTCATGTCAATTTCGATCCCGACAGCGCTGATTCAGGCCCCTTGGGAGGTGGCACGCGCCGTTCTCATCTGACAGTGAGGATGGTAGTAAGGGCATCCACCTGGTGGGTCCGCCGGGACTATAAAGTGAGATAATATGTTCAAAGTGCTTAGCCCAGGCCAGAGTGAGTGCCCAGGAGATGAGTGTGCTTAGACACTCAGTCATGACTCTGTGCGACCCTATGGACTGTAGCCTACCAGGCTTCTCTGTCCATGGGATTCTCCAGGCAAGAATACTAGAGCGGGTTGCCATTAGGAAGCTACTCACCTTGTTGAGGAAGAGTCAGACCCACTGATCCCCCAGGTCACAGTGACCCGGGGCAGGGAAGACACCTGAGCTGTGCCCTTGAACTGTCTCAGAGCAGGTCCTGGGCTGGCACCACCAGAGCCATCTAGGAGAGCTTCCGCCCCCCCTCCCGCACTGTGTTAATCAAACAGGAGTGAGGTTTGTCAGGCCTGCCCTCTGACCCAGTCAGAGCCCCCTCCAGGCTGGACCGCAAAGGTGAAGGACCAGGGGCAGCAGAGGGGTCCCAGCCAGACCTCCAGAAGCCCACTGGCCTACAGAAGACATCCCAGGTAAGGGAACCAGGCCAAGGTCACAGGGAAACCTTTACCCCAAGGACACCATCCTCTACTCAACTCCACTTTTTAATCTGGAGGCACGCCTGAGCCCCAGGCCTCCTGCTCACACCCCCCAGCCCGCCAGGGAGACAGCAGAAGACCAAGAACGTGGGAGGGAGCAGCCTGCTCTACAGTGGGCCAGCCGGCCTGCATGCTGAGCCCTGGGGCAGAGGTTGTGAGCAGCTCACCTGGTGTGAACACCCAGCCCCGCTGCTGCCGGCTCTCCTCTGTGGCCACCACACGGACCGTCTGTGTCACATCCCCATAGGCCTCCTGAAACCACTGGATGTCAGACACTCTCCGTGTATCACTCACCAGCTGCAGGGAAAGGACATAAACCAGTGACCAACAGGACATGGTGCAGGAAGCAGCAGGACCGGACAAGAGCTAAAGGGGAGAGAGGGAGACCTGGCCCCATTCCCGAGGCAGACTACAGAGCCCAGACGAGTGTAGCCCCATTCCCTATGATCACCCAACCGGCTGGAAGGGACATCCGCTCCTCCCTTCAGGCATCCCTCCCGGATTGATGCAGCCTGAGGCCTGCTCTGACCACGTTGTGTGCTACGGTCATCAGTGCTGAGCTGAAGAGGCCTCAGGCTCTGAAATCAGATCAGGGAGTCATTTTACAGATGAACAAACCCAGGCCAGAAACAAAGATACCTTAATCAGTCCCTGCCCCCAACACCTTTTAAAATGGAAATGTGACCTTGTGTGTCCCCTGCCCTAAGTCCCTCCATGACTTCCCATCATTTTGATAAAATCCAAAGCTCTCACCCCAGTTTACAAGGCCCTTTAAGATCTGACACCTATTTCCGGTCACCTTCCCTTCATTCATTCTCCTGCATCCAACTAACAACCTTGCCCTTTCTTAAACATCCCAACCAGGTCTCCTCCTCAGGGCCTTTGCACTTCCTTCTCCCTGGCTCTGCTTAAATGTCACCTCCTTGGACAGGCTGACCCTACCATCCTGACTCCCTTCCTGTCCCTCTCAATTCTGATATGCTGTTTATTCTCTGACCACTAAGTATTCATGAAACCATCACTATCTCTGTGTGTGTTGACTGTCTGATCCATGCTCTGTAGAGTAGCTCCCATGAGGGGAAGGACTGTGTCTCACTCACTACTCTGTCCCTGGCCCATAGCACTACCTGACCCACATGAGCATTCAGGAGCACATGGTCAATGAATGAATGAATCAGTGAATAAAGAGGCCAGATGTTCTTGTCCAAGCTGCAGGCATGTTCACGCAGCCAATTATTAAACAAATACTATGAAGGGAAGAATACTCACTCCAGCATTCTTGCCTGAAGAAACCCACAGACAGAGGAGCCTAGCAGGATACAGTCTTCGGGGTCGCAAAGAGTCAGACACGACTGATCGACTAACACACACATGTCAAACACCTACTGTGTGCCTGGCACTGTGTTAGACTCTTGGAGTAGAGCTGTAAGCAGACCTGGTACTTGCCCTCAGGGAGCTCACAGTCTAGTGGGAGAAACACTCTAAGCCAGCAGCTTCACTAATTACCATGCAATCACAGCACGCATCAACTTGCATCTGGACCTTAACACTGTGAAACCAAACTCCTGGTTTTCTCCCCAAACTTGTTCTGCCACATCATCCCTGTGTCTCAGAAAACGACAACTCCAGCTGTCCAACTGCTCAGAACAAAATCCTTGGACTTGTCTCCTGTCCTTCCACCCTAGAGCCATCACACCAGGAAATCCTACTGGTTCTGTGTTCAAAATCTGTGCAGAATGCACCCGTCTCCACTCCCCTGCCACTCGAGTCAAGCCACGGCCACTTTGCTGTCCTGTGGAAAGATCCTCTGCCTGGCCTCTCTGCTTCCACTCTTGCCCTCCTCCCAACAGCCAGGAAGAGCCTCTTAAATCCTAGATCATCTTTAAAATAAATTTTTTAAAAACTTAAGATCACATTATGCCTCTCCTCTGCTCAAAAACCCTCCAGTGAGTCCCCACCTCACTCAGAACAAACTCCAGGCTCTTTCAGAGAACCCGCATTTGACCTCACCTCCTGCCACTCAACCCTCACCTGCAAAAATCCATCTAGGTCACCCCTTACTTCCTAGGTCCTGCTCAAATGTCATCCTGTCAGTGAGGCCTTCCCCGACACCCTTAACAAAGCAGCAACCAGGGTCTCCTCATAGCTGTGGCCTGCTTTCTTTTGCCCTTAGTAGTTATCTCCACATACTCTATATTTATTTAGGGCCTAACTCCTTCTACCCCCAGCGACAATGTATGTATCCTGAGAGTAGGGACTTCAGAGTTTCACATGATATATCCTCACATCACCTGTAACCAGTCCTGGTACAAGAAGGTACCACTGGCTGCCAGAAAGAATGAGGAAGGAAAAGGGTAAGCAGCTACAGGAGCACCTCAGAGGGAGCATCAGTTAGGACCTGGGTATCAGGGAAGGCTTCCCCATGGAAGTGCCATGGAAGCTGAGCTGGACTGAGCCAGGTGAAGAGGGAAAGGAAGAGCGCTCCAGGCAGGTAGAAGGACACGGGCGGAGGCCCTGATTCCAGAAGGAGGTTGATTTATTTGAGGAACAGAGAGAAAGCCAATGTTGCTGCAGCTGAAGGAACAAGAAGGCTAGAAGGGCAGCAGGAGCCGATCATTCAAGGCCCAGAAGTTCATGTTAAGGATTTCAATTCGTTCATCAGAACGGTAGGACAAAGGGTTCCAAACATGACTTGGTTTGTGTTTTTAAAAGGTCACTCTGGCTGCTGTGTGATGAATGGATCACAAGGGACAAGAGCCGAAGCAGGGACCAGTGTGGGGGCTACTCCAACTGTCTGGGTGAGAGACAGCAGGGCCTTGGGCCAGAGAGGTGGCCGTGGAGAGAGAGAAAGGGACGTATCTGGGGAGGGGCGGAGGGCTGGGGAAACAGATTTTCTCAATGCCACCATAGAGCCCACTCACCCAGACAGGCTGGCAGACCCCCTCCACAATCTTCCTGCAGAAGAAGCCTGGGTCAGCCTGACGCTTCTCCTCGCCCCAGCGGATCATGTCCCTCCGATAGGCCTCCTTGTAGGTGCTGGCATCCAGGAGTCTCTGGAAGTCCAAGCCGTGCTCCTGCCCAAAGCACATTCTGATTATGCCACCAGCCTCTCAACCTCGCTGGTCTCCCCTAAAACAGAAGGAGGGTGCCCCGCCACCCCCACCTTGACCCGCCCTCCCGGAAGGCTGCTGCATGGACTCATGAGGCTGCCACTAGGACAGAGGCCGGCAAGGGAACGGGGCCTGGAAACAGAAATCCCAAACACTGGCAGACAGATGGAAGAAAAGCCTTGAGGTAATCCAGAAACTGTTTTGGCTTGCCTTTAAATGTATGATGTGGTTTTCTCTTCTGCAACAGTTCTACCTTCCCAATTATTTCTGGCTTAAGCTAGTCCTGAAATTAGTTTGCCTCACTTGGGCACACAGGTTTAGCCTTCACCCAGAAGTGGGAAGTCTGAAGACATCGCACTCCGTATCCTTCCACTACCCCTTCTGGCATTGTCTGTCCCCATCCCAAAGCCCAGGAGACCTGGCTTCCCTGTCTCTCTCCCCTCCCCCAATCCGCTTCCTCACTCCCAATTCCAGGCACCTTTGCTGAGTCAGCCTCACTACGTTTGGCTCCGGGCGCTCCTGGAACCCTGAGGCAGGAGGGGCAGCTCTGATGCCCTGGGAAGCTGCTTCCAGGTGGGCCTCCCTTTCTCCAGGGACACTGACAAGCAACAGGGTGCATCAGAGGGCCCCGGAATGGGAGGGTTCAGGGGTCAGCTCCCCTGGCGTTCACCGCAGCAAGACCCTCTCCCCAAAGACTCAGTTTCTTCACGGGCAAACTGAGGGGGCTGCGGCCCAGCCAGTCAAATCACCTACGACCACCTTGTTCCAAGGTGAGGTCAACAGCCATCTCCCATTTATAAACTAGTTTCCCACATACTCTTTACCATGGAAGGTTAGCTCCCAGGGGCATTATGGTCGGCCTGTCAATTATATTCCCCACTACAACTGAAGAAATCAATGCGTTAACATTTCATTTTGAATCTGTTTTGCAATGGGTGTAACGGATGAAGTGGTGCTGGATTTAAAAACAGCAGGGGCAGGTTGGCCTATCAGAGTCTCCTACTGGGGTTTTAGAAATGCCAAATCCTGCCCACTGACCCTACCCCACCCTCCAGCCTGGCTCATCAGTCTGGACTGGGGCCTAATTTGGGAAGTCTGGAAGCAGACCAATGGTATTTAAACTGTTCCTCTGAGCCCTGGGGTTTGGAAGTGTCAAGCCCCACTGGGGAAGGCTGAGTGCCTCCCCCTCACTCAAAATCGCTCCCAGTCTGTCTATTGGATACAAAGAATCTCTGCATCCAATTTCATTTGTGAAAGGTTCCCACTAGGAAAAGATGTTGAAAATCACTGACTCTGTTATCCGAGGGCCCCCCAGGCTGCCATCCTACAAATGGGTCTGTTGTGCTGGTGGGAGAAGACCGATGGCTCAGGGAACAGATTCATTTTATGTGGACTCAGCGGTCCAGACACAGGCCAGCGGACCAAGGAACCATAAGCACAAGAATGACGCACCTAGAGGTCAAGGACAGAAATGCAAGCGAAAAGCAGGCTCTTCATGGTGTGGGGAGCTGATCCCAACTTCCAGGTTCCCTTTTTAAAATCTAAGGTTCTGAAATTTCTGTTTATTTTTTATGGTCTTATTTTTTTTTAATCTACATGGTTCAAAACTCAAAAAATAAACACTGTTTACAGTGAAACATCTCCGTTCTCTGTTCCCAAGCCACACAGCTCCGCTCCTGGAGGCAGCCAGTGGTCCAGTCTCTTATGTATCCTGCCCAGGCTTTTACACAACCCAAGCATCCAGAATGGTACTGAATGCGCTCCATATGTATCTGCTGAATGGCTGAATATATGAGCAAATATGTTGACAATTTTCCCCATTTTTATATAAATGCAGCATTCTCTACAGTGTTCCCAGGTGGCACTAGTGGTAAAGAACCTGTCTGCTAATGCAGGAGATGTAAGAGATGTAGATTCCATTCCTGGGTCTAGAAGATCCCCTGAAGGAGGGCATGGCAATCCACTCCAGCATCCTTGCCTGGAAAATCCCATAGACATGGGAGCCTGGCGGGCTACAGTCCATAGGGTCACAAAGAGTTGGACACAACTGAAGCGACTTAGCAACAGCAATATTCTCTATACACTGTTCTACATCCTACTTTTTTCACTTAGCAATGTAACTTGACAACTCATGTGATTAAATTTCTAAGGGGAGAATTCCATGGGTTGTGGCAGGCCAACTTTAGAGGGGGCAGGGGGAGTTGATCTGTGTCATATTTTTTGAATAAGGGGACAGACTGTTACCAATAACACAGCATCAGAGCTGCCAACTCACATCTACAGCCTTTTCTGGACACACTTTCCTGAACATCCTCTAGGGAGGTGGCCTGAAGTGAGTAAGGCCAATGGGAAAGAAACTTAAATGGAAAATGCCACCCTATAGGTCCAGCTATAGAAAGTGGAGAGCTGTGTGCCATCCTGCCAGCAAGGGGTCACAGGGACCCTGCTGGTGACTCAAGCCTTAACAGCACAGCAACCAAAGCTTGGGAGCTGGCTCCTTCCAACCCACCAGGTGCCACAGAGCTGCCACCTACCTGAGCGTACTGCTCCTTGAGTGGACCGGAGAGCCGGAGGACAGCACACACGTCAGCCCCTAGCCTGTGAGACAGGGAGAGCCGAACCCCATTAACCCCATTAACCTAGGGCTTCCAGGCCCCAGAAGAGTGAAGCCCCATGTCAGCTGTGAGTACCTATATAGCCTTGTCAGCTCTCAACTTCCCTGATCTACTCATCTGTAAAATGGGCTAACAGTGTCGGTTCTGTCTCCACGGGATCAACATGAAACTCAAATGTGAAAAAGCCCTGAAGCTAACAAGTAAGACAAAAGTATAACTACAGTGTGAAGATCCCAGGAATATTCTGGCTGGTTTGGTTACTACTGGGCTCCTGCACTTGTTCTCTCACAGCCAGGGGTATCTCAGTCTTAAAGGACTTGGATCGCACACATAAACAACTCATTCATTCACTTGCTCAGTTTACTCAACCAACCATCTGCTCGGTACTATATTTGGATCCAGGTGATACAAATGTGAATAAGATATGCGATTTATGGGACTTCACTACTGGTCCAGTGGTTAAGACTTCATGCTTCCTCTGCAGGGGGCACGGGTTCAATTCCTGCTCAGGGAACTAAAATCCTGCCTGCCACATGGCCAAAAAAAAAAAGATACATGACTTCTGCCCTGACCGTGAGGTGCTCACAGATTCACTTAAACACTGACATGGTGAGGTGGGTGTTCTTTTTTTTTTTCTTTTTTTTTTTGAGGTGGGTGTTCTTATTTTCTTGTTTCAGGTGAGGAAACTGAGGTTGAGGGAGGAAAACTGACTCACCCAAAGGACTACTGCAAGTCAAGTACTAGTAACAAAGCCAATATTGTAAAATGCATCCTAGGTGGCGAAGCGGTAAAGAATCCACCTGTCGACGCAGGAGACGCGGGTTCGATCCCTGGTTCAGGAAGATCCTCTAGAGTAGAAAATGGCAACCCACTCCAGTATTCTTGCCTGGAAAATTCCATGGACAGAGGAGCCTGTCAGACTACAGTTCAGAGTGCTGGAGAGTCGGACACACCTGAGCACGCACACACACACATTGATAAAATAAAAATAAAAGCCAACATTTAGTCCCAGGGCTGTGCAGGCGTGTTCAGTTGCTAAGTCTTGTCTGACTCTTTGCGACCCCAAGTACTGTAGCCCAACAGGCTCCTCTGTCTTTGGGATTTTTCAGGCAAGAATACTGGAGTGGGTTGCCATTTTCTACTCCAGGGATCTTCCAGACCCAGGGATCAAAGCCCAGTGTGTCCTGTGTCTCCTGAATTGGCAGGCGGATTCTTTATCACTGAGCCACCTGGGAAGCCATGCCTGTAACTAGGTGCTAAGAGTTGTTCTAGGCCCTTCGTGTACATCATCTCATTTAATCCTTACACTCACCCTATTATCTCCAACTCACGGATGACAAAACTGAGGAACAGAATGCATAAGAAATTTGGACAAGATCATACTCGAATAAAGTGGTGAGTCAGGATTTGAATCCCAGCAGTCAAATTCCCAAGTCTGTGCTTCTGACCACAAATTAATTGATGTGCTGGGTGGAGAAATGTAACTTGGGAAAAGGTGGCAGATACTTAGTGGTGCAAGATTCAGGTGGCAAACTCTGCCTTGGATTTTCTTCAACCTCTTAGACTCCCCATGGTGACCAAAAGCAGCCTCCTACCACACTCAACACACTGGCCTTCAACAGGAGAGAAGGCCCACTCCACCTTCTCTGGCTTCTGTGCCCTCCTAGCCCAGAAAAAAATGCTCCCACACAGAACATCTTCCTTTGGGAGAAAATCTGCTGAAATTCCCTGGTGGCCCAGGGGTTAAGACTTCATGCTTTCACTGCTAAGGGCCGGGATTCGGTCCCTGACTGGGGAACTAAGTCTCACAAGCATGCAGGCAAAAAAAAAAAAAAAAAACACTTGAACAAAAAAGTATTAAAGAAGCAATGGGGAAAAGCAAAAAGAACCCATTCCTTAGAGCTAGACAAAAGCTGAATTTGAGTCCCGGATCTACCAATTACTTTGTGTTCCTGGCAGGTTTGGGTGTTGTTTGTCTTTTGAACTTTTCAGAGTCTCCTTTTCCGCACGTGCAAAATGAAGATACTGACTAAAATTACCACACAGTACCTAACAACGGTATCTGGCATACAATAAGGCTCAATAAATCCCATCAACGAGGTGGAGTGCTAGGTAAGGATTTGTCTGTGGAGTCAGATACAATTGGGGTGTGGTCTGAGGCAAATCCTTTATTTGTGACTCAGTTTCTTCTTCTGTACATTACCTCGCAATACTGTCTGGAGGATTAGGAATGGTGTATAAAAAGCGCTTTGGTAGCAACTGTTACTAATACTCCTCGAAAGATCTAGAGCTTACCACCTCTCTCTGGAGAGGAGGCCGCCTGGTTCTTTGAGGTGGGCGTGTGTATACTGCTGTTTTTCCTGACGGTGACAATCCTCCACTTCTGGCCACCCAGTGCTCCTCTGTTCTGCAACCTGAGGACCCCAACTCCAAAGCTCACTCCATCACACCCCAACACACCGCTCGTGTCACGTGATTCGGGGTCTCCCGGTCCTCCTCCTTCCCCACCCCACGGACACCTGCTCTGAAGCGCCTCGGTCACGAAGTCCTTCCCGGATTTCCTCTTTCCGCTGAACAGCAGCACCAGCCCCGGTACGCCTCCGAGCGGGGCCATGGGGGTCACCACGCTCTGCGATCCCTAAAGCTAACTTTTCCCTACCCCTTAAATCCGACCATCGGCACAGAATGGACGCGGCCACTCGGTGGAGCGGCAACAAGGAGGGGTTCCGCCGCCCCCCCGTCTTCTTCATGGCCGTGGAGAGGACAGACAGCCCGTACATGTGCTTCCGTGGCTTTAAATTAAAGCCTGCGCAAGTGGAATATGGAGAGAAAGAATGTTAATTCCTAGGGCAGCCTTCTCCCTTAAAGAAGCTCCCCTACCAGAACTCATTTGGAACAGTCCAACCCGCCCACCACCTGACGTCACGGCCCCGCCTTCTTAGCTGACACGCGTGACACGTGGGGAGGTGGGAGTTGGACGCAACTATTCTCTTCCGAGGGTGGTGACGTCTTAAAATTTCCTAAGTGAACCTCACATTGCCTTCCACACAATCCTACCAACACACCCAAAAAAGAATAAACTTTTTCATATTGCGAAAGCTTTCAGAACTACCTGTTTATCTGTGCATTTTAATGCGTGTGCTAAAGCAAATCCGTATATGCCCCCCAGAGTGAAAAATAGGTGTTTCTGGATGTGAAATAAGGCGAGGACGCGAGGGGCGTGTTTTGTGACGTCTGCTGGGGGGAGGGACTTAGGCAAACATGCTTTATTTTATTGTTAAATGGGTTTTATAGTCAGCGAGGCTACTGCAGTTTGATCCTTTAATCCAGGAAAGAAAACTCACGTCGGTTTTCTAGCCGCGGCTTCCTCTCCAAAAGTTTTCTGAAGCCAGAGAGCTTGGAATAAAGTAAGTTTAAAAGGCTCTTTGAAGCCACTCCTGGACTAGATTATCTAGTTTCATCTGGAGTCCAGCTCTCAACCAGGAGTTCAAGGGGCAAAATAAGGGGCAGTGATCTGTCTCTACCCTGAATTCTCAGCTCTGACTCTGCCCACAGCAGCTGCCAGCCAGCCCCAGTTAAGGAAGTGGAGTTGTCTTTAGCTATGGCTCGCTGCCCTGTATCTCTCTGAATTTGTCACAACAGCCTGCAACCCATTACTGCTTCTGTTTTACATGCTATCATGTAAAGAGAAGTGAGGTGTGAAGATCTCCTTTGGGAGAAACCGTTAATTCTCTGAACATGGAAAAGATGGCACAGAAGCAGCTAAGGAAAATAAAATGATCAGTGGTAAGATACAAAAAGAATGGACTTTGGGAAGGTCTTTTTTTTTTTTCCTTGTAAGAAATTCTGAAAGCACTGCACATTTACATTCACTTCGAAGGAAGCCTACAGTGGAATTATAATCCCAGCTTTGGCATCCTGGCACTTGGTCGGAATGTGACCTTCAGCAAGTCACTGTGAGTTCCCATCTCACAGGGTTGTGTTAAGGAGGAAATGAGGAAAATATATGATAAAATACAATAAAAATGCTTCATTTATTATTAAGTGCCAGATGCGAAGAGCCGACTCATTGGAAAAGACCTTGATGCTGGGAAAGACTGAAGTCAGGAGGAGATGAGGACAAGAGAGGATAAGATGGTTGGATGGCATCACCAACTCAATGACGTAAGTTTGAGCAAGCTCCAGGAGATGGTGAAGGACAGGGAAGCCTGCTCTGCTACAGTCCATGGGGTCTCAAAGAGTTGGACACAACTGAGCAACTGAACAACCTAAATATGGAATCGTTGGACTTCCCTGGTGGCACAGTGCATAAGAATCTGCCTGCCAATTCTGGGGACATAGGTTCAATCCTTGGTCCAGGAAGATTCCACATGCCACACAGCAACTACGCTCTTGTGCCCACAAGCCACGACTACTGAGCTCGTGTGCCACAACCAGTAAAAGCCCTAGAACCTGCACTCCACAACTACTGAGGCAGAGTGCTACAACCACAGAAGCCCTCACACCTAGAGCCTGTGCTCTGCAACAAGAGAACCCACCACAATGAGAAGCCTGTGCATGGCAAGAGTAGCCCACCCTGCTTGCTACAACTAGTGAAGGCCCTGGCACAGCAATGACCCAGAGCAGCCAAAAATAAATAAGTAAACAAGAAAGATTTCAAATATGGAGTTGTTATTTATTCTGAGCCATGTGTGATTTCAGAGTTCATTTTTCTTTGTGATATTTATTTACTGATTTGACTGCACTGGGCCTTTGTTGTGGCATGTGGGATGTAGTTCCCTGACCAGGGATGGAACCTGGGCCCCCTGCATTGGGAGCTGAATCTTAGTCTCTGGACCACCAGGGAAGTCTCAGTTTCAGAGTTTACAATCCAATGCAGGATCAGATTTCCCAGGTCACCTTCAACAAGTTTCTCTGGGAGTTCACCAAAAGCACCAGGCCCACCTCTGCCAGCAGAGACTAAAAAGGATTAACTGCACTCATGCTCCTGCCCTCCTGAGTCACCCCTGAGAAATCAGACCTCCGAGAGTCTCCTCCCTCACCTGACCCAACCACACCCCTGCTCCTTCCCCCCAACCCTTCCCAGAATGAAGCTCCCTGGAAGGCCCAGTGATTAGAATATATCCCCCAAACCCCAATCTCTTCTCAGTAGCTCCCTCCTGCTCCTTGCCTTGCCGGAACCTCACTGTCCCCTACTACCTTCCCAGGGGCAGCCTCAGAGCTAAGCATCCATAAACTTGTGTCTATAGCCTTCCTCCCACTCCATTTCAGCTTCCGGGCCGTTCCTCCCCTACTTCTTAGAAAACTGTGGCTCCTCTAAGACTCATAGCACCTGCCTGAACTGCCCTCTTCCCCTCCTCATTTTTGACAACCACCAATGCTGGCGATCATTCTCACATCCTGAGTCTCAGCCATTGGCTCCCTGTCTTCTTTTCCACTGGATTCCCATCATCCTTCTTGGTGACTTCACTGTCTGTTGGCCAGCCCATCCAACACCCCAACAGCTCAAAGCCTTGGCCTCGGATGTCCAAAGTCTTTTTCTTCCTCTCTTCCTCAGGATACCAGCTCTCATGGGCACACCCTGGGCCTTGTCATCACCAGAAACCATTCAACCTGCAAATTCCCACACCCATGCATCCTGCCCTCCAAGGTCACTTGCCCATGTGCTCCCCAAAGGAGTGCTTCCCTCCCAGAGCCCATGAAGCTCTTCATGTTATGTAACATCTGCTCCTCCTTCCTTCAACAACCAAAGGAAACATGGAATACGTGAATACATGTAGAAAGCTTTCCTAATCTGTCCAGGACTGCACAAATATGCAGGACTGCACTATTTTTAGGGTAGAACAGGCTGGGCTAAAGGCCAGGCTGCTGCCAAGGGTGAGGCAGGAAAGACCGAAGGAGTAGGAGTGTCTGACAGCAGCAGACACCAGAACGGAGTGGCCAGAGTTCCTGGGGACTGGGACTGGAAGCCAGACTCTAGGTGACACTGCCTCCTGATGACAGTTCCGAAGGTGATGCCTGAGGAAGCCAGTGCCAGCCTCAGAAAACAGAAGAGTTCTCCCAGAACTCAGGAACACAGGAACCTCTGAGAGTCACCTCTCACTAAAGGAGTGGACAATTTAAAGAGAGGTTTGGGACTTCCCTCTGTCCATGGAATTCTCCAGGCTACAAGACTGGAGTGGGTTACCATTCCCTTCTCCAGGGGATCTTCCCAACCCAGAGGAGCTTGGCAGGTTATTAGCCCATGGGGTTGCAAAGAGTAGAACATGACTGAATGACTAACACTTTCCCTTTAACTTTGGGATTTCCCTGGTGGTTCAGTGGTTAAGATTCCACACTCCCAATGCAGGGAGCCCAGGGTTCCATCCCCGGTCAGGGAACTAGATCCCACATGCCACAACTAAGAGTTCATAGGCTGTAACTACGATCCTCCTGAGAGTCTCTTGGTCTGCAAAGAGAGCAAACCAGTCAGTCCTAAAGGAAACCAGTCCTGAATGTTCATTAGAAGGACTGATGCTGAAGCTGAAGCTCCAGTACTTTGGCCACCTAACTCGAAGAGCCAACTCATTAGAAAAGACCCGGATGCTGGGAAAGATCGAGGACAGGAGGAGAAGGGGATGACAGAGGATGAGATGGTTGGATGGCATCATTGACTCAATGGACATGAGTTTGAGCAAGCTCCAGGAGATGGTGAAGGACAGGGAAGCCTGGCGTCATGCTGCAGTCCTTGGGGTTGCAAAGAGTCGGACACGACTGAGCGACTCCACAACAACAGCTAAAACCCAGTGCAGCCAAATAAAAATTTTTTTTAATAATAATAAACAAAGAGAAGTTTGCCTCACTGACCCAAAGCTTGGGAGGAAGGCCTGTTTGAAGGTCACCTGCTCATTGTTTTAACATACTCAGAAACAAGATAAGTCTGCAGGGGCGTGGCTCTTACAGTTCCGCAGAGCCTAGAAGAGGGAAGAGCTGGGCTTCTCAGTACCCCTCCAACCTTGCCCAGGCAGAGGGAGCCCTGAGCGGGGGGGTCTGCCCCTCCAGGGCGAGCCTGTCCCACAGTGGAACCAGATGTCGTCCTGGCTCAGCAACACCGCGAGTTACCCTTGCTTCAGCTCTGTGCTCTGGTTCCAGTTTATTCTCCCATGGTCATTGTCCAACTGACCCAAGCATCCCCTTCTGCTGGTGTGGTCAGTGTAGATGTGACTTGTGAATCAGTCCTCGTGTGTTTGATGACCACCATTTCAGGGGCAATGGAGCCTAGCAGATGCGGGACAGAATGGGATGGGCTTGTTTGTTTTGTTTGGATTTTTTTTTTTCAATCCTTATTCATTTATTTCTTTTGCTCCACCAGGTCTTAGTTACAGCATGTGGGATCTAGCTCCCTGAACAGAGAGTGAACTTGCACCCCTTGTGTTGGGAGCCTGGAGTCTTAGCTGCTGAACCACTAGGGAAGTCCCCTGGGGTTGTAAGAAAATAGTACGAGAGGGAAAGATAGGGGACAGACGTCTATGCATTCATTCAACGTGTATTAACGTTCTAAAATGAAAAAAATAAAGTTCTGCTAGAGACACAACAGTAAACCAAACAGAGCCTTTTCTCGAACAGCATTGATTC